TACAATCATATTTTATATACAGTCTATACACTCTAGTCTTACAACCTTGGCGTGGTATAGACAATCAATCACCTGCTGTATGTTACATCGCACTCTGTGACAAATGGAGCGATCATGTAAGTAGGCATCCACATTAGTTGACCTAAATACAAACAAAGACAAAGATTACAGGTACAAAAGAACAGAAGATGGAAAATTAACAACATAAAAGTGCAAAATCAAAACATGATTGACCAAAATGGGAAAAAAAAAAAAAAAAACCTCTCCATTAATCAGCCATTGTGTTCATGTCAGTCTTTATCCACTGGAAATTGATATGCTGAGATTTAAATCCACTGTAGTCAGCAGCAGAAGATCCTCAGAGGTGAGTGTTATTAAAAATATTAGTCGTGCAAACGGAGCGAGAAAATTGTGATCAAACATGTGACCAAATGAATTTCAGCTTTAAGATAAAAGAGCATTTTGTACCTCAGTACAAAACTAAGTTATATCGTAGGTGGATTAGTTACAGCTACCACATGAGCTGTTCTTAATACTACAAAGTCTGTTTTTTTCAAGTCAAAACAATGTTTCAGTGCTTCAAACCTCTTCTATACAAAACATGACTCAACATACTCGACGGCTTTTCACTCCTGAAAAGCTAAAGTGTCAAATAATACCCCCCCAATCCCAAGTCATTCATTATATTATATATTAGCGATGTATATGAAGAAAGAAAAAAGAACGATTGAGACTTCACACTGCCTGACTACACTGGAATACCTCGAGATTACTCTGCACTCTCTCAGGTTACATGTTTCGTCCCCCGTTGATGACGTTTCCTCCCGGAGGGGCGATGTGAATAGAGTCCAGGATGGGCCGCAGTATTTGGCCAAATGGTCTAAAGATGGAGAGATTTCATTTGACATTTTAAAAACACATAAGCACAATGACTGCCCCATTTTTAACCCAATAACTCCCTCCAACATATTTACTTTTATGCATCAGCAGATGTGAAGCAAATCTCTGCAGGGATGTTTAAAGTATAGGAGCAATAGCAACAGCCTAACGTAGTGCTGCCTGTTCCCTTTTCATGCAGTCACACTGAATTTGTGGTAAAAGCTTGTGCCTCTGCTATGACTGCCCTTGTTGTTGGCGAAAAAAGGCTCAAACTGAGCTTTCATAATAGTTAAATACCACAAAAAGTTCAACCAGGGCAAAGTACAAACAACTCCACTGCAGGCTGCACTATATTAACATTTAGTGGCCAAATTTAAAATTTCTTCCTCTTCATCCAAGACTGTATGGCAACATATCAAAGCTACACTGTAGTTTATAATTAATGCTTAATAATAAACACATTTCATAATTTAGCTGCGATCATGACTAATAGTACATAACTTCACTGCAATTGGAGGTCTAGACGACTAATGTGGCGTTCAAAGACTTGCCGCCTTGTTCAGATTTCAATGGGACACATTCACAGTCATGGGGTGAGCAGTGGTGAGCAGGGACATTATTAATACCACAGACTCAAATGAAGCAAATGTAAGCTGACAGCCCGAGTTTCACTCACGTAGAGAGGACTTCAGATGGAAGGTCGGTGATGTAGGACGGGATAGACCTGCCAGTCAGGAACTGAGCCACCTCGTTGGTGAAAGTGTTGCAGTTGTGCTCAAACAGACGATACCTGTCACCTCTGAACAACAACAACAAAAAAACTCAGTAACATGCAAAGTTCAAATAATAAACCTGACTATCTCCTGATTATACATTACTTATGTAAGGAGCTTGGAGCTTTTCTGTATGCGGGAAAGAAACTGACCTGTATGTGCTTTCTCCCAGGGAAGAGAGGTAATCCATGAAGATCTCCTCAGAGACTTCAGTCTCACCGAGCTCCACCACTGTGTCAGGAGGCCCCAGCATAGTCCCACCCTGCCAAAAACAAAGAAAATGTGTCATAAAACAGAAACATGATTAAAGAGTAAATCAGTGATGGTCTGAGGAAGCTGCTGCACTATTAGCTTCTATTGTTTTAATTTTATTATGCATGTCTAAAACAACTCTCGCTAGTAAGTGAGACATTGAGCATAAAATGGGATTACCTGCATAAAGAAATGTTAGATAAATAATAAATAAAGAGGTCTTCTTGAGTCAATTTTCTGTATTTGTGATACACGCTTAAGTTAGTTAGCAAGCCAAAGAGCCAATGCTAACTTGGCCAACTTTACTAGCTACCTTACCGTGTTACCTTACTTCCAAGGTGGGAAAAATGCTAAGCTAATAAGCTAATTGTTATGACTGAGGTTTTTTTTATTTTTCTTTTTAGAAAAAATAAATAAATAAAATCAGGAAAAGATGATTGAATTCACATCATTTATTTGGTCTTGGAAAAAAGTAAAATACTTCAACTTACAGGTAAGAATATGCAATCAGCCAAAACATTAAAACAACCCATTTATATTATTTTTAACTAATTTATAATTATTTTTAATAGGTGGACTTTTGCCATGATAATAAAGCTGTGGTAGCAGACCATAGATGTATGAAATGTATATTATACGATATACTATCATCTAAATTATTAGGCAAATTTGAACATTTCTTTACTGATAGTAGTATATATATAATAGTATGTACTACTTTCATATGTATGAGTAGTACATGTAGATATAGTTAAATTCTATGTAGGTATGAAGCGTCTCTCTGTGTTAGCGTTGTGCAGGCTGGTGACCTGCTTCTCACCCAACAGCAGCTGGTATAGGTTCCTCAACCCATCACCCCACGAATAAATAAAGAAAATGGATAGAACTTCATTTCTTGAGTTCTTTTGTAGAATATCACCTACCCAATTGTACTTTTTCTTTCTTGATAAGTGTCACACTGGTCTCAGGCGTTGTGATTTGCCTTCTTTGCACAGCTTTTGTTTGTTTCTTTGTTTCCCCCTGCTCGCTATCATGACATCACAAACATCTGGTCGATTCATTTGTGGCCCCAAGGGACAAACATACAAATGTTTGTTTCGGGACAACAACCATTTCAAAACTCAGGGTATACTTTGTAAGTCCTGCAAAAATGAAAGGTACTGCAGAAATGAGAGGCAGCCGACACACGTCTAAAACACCTTCAAAAATTATTTTCCACATGTGTGCAGCAGTCTGGGAGAAGGCTGAGGTGTTTGGTGATATAAGTGAAATGGACGTCACATCCTTGTTACATCCTTACCGGAGAACAGCTGGAGATCCCCTCCCCTCCAAAGAAGAACTCATCACCATATGCCACTATAGCTGTGTGCCTGCAAAATTATTACATTGGTAAATCCAGGTCAGAGCATCTCAGTGGCATAACAGCATATTTAAAATTACATTAGCACCATTCATGACGCTTAATCCACTTTGGCACACCAAATAACACAATTAATACAGTCACGGTGCATTTTACAAACTACCGAATACAACAATTATAAGGACTAAAAATCCATCCATAGACAGATGAGTGGATGAGTGAGCAACTAGCTGTTTATTTAGTGTTAAAATATCATATGTATCTGCCTAATCTTTTTAATTATAGCGCACTTGATCAGTTCACATACATCCCCAGACGCCTTCATTAATAAATACAAACAGGCAGACCACCAGGAGGTGTTTTGACCATTTTTAATGCCACTGCTGTCTTCCCTGGGACCAGAATTAGGTCAGTGGCCTACACCTGATGTATCTACAGTAAAAGCTGTGTTTTCGTGATAAGGAGGTTACACTTACCATATCCCATCCAGCTGCTTTCCTGCAATAGAAAAGGGGGGGGG